CTGGATTTTTTTCATAACTTTTTATTTTAAATAGTTTCAAATACATAGAAAAGTTGGAGGAACCGAAAAACAGACCTGATGGCCGTCTTCTTTACACCTTGTCATAGTTGCTTCTTTTTCTGTCTATATACCTATCACACTTTTTGATCTACTATATTTTTATTTTATGTGTATGAGTGCTTTACCTGAATGCTCTGTGCACCCAAGTCATGCAGTGGTTGTGAAGGCGTGAAGAGGGTGTCAGATCCCTTGGAACTGCAGTTATGGATGGTTGTTAGTGGCCATGTGGGTGCTAGGAATCAAACCTGGGTTCTCTGCAAGAGCAACCAGTGCTCTCAAGCCACCTCTCCAGTCACATCAATCACACTTTTAAAGTGAAACATTTGAGCTGGGCGTGGTGGCACTTTCTATTAATCCCAACCTTCAGGAAGTAGAAGCAGGCAGATCTCTGTGAGACGGAGTCTAGCCTGGTCCACATAGTGACTTCGAGGCACCTGGGTTGATACTAGAGAGAAATTGTCAAAACAACAACAAACAAACAAAGAAAAAAATCCCCAAATCAAAATAAACCAAAAACAAACCAAAAAAAAAACAAAAAACAAAAAACAATAAAGTGAAATATTTGAATGTAACTTATAAGGAACATGGTATTTATCCCTAAGTAATTCAGAATGTATTTCCTAAGAATGAAAGCCTTCTTCTCTAAATTATAATACTATTTCTATACTTAAAAATAGCTAAAAATAAATAAATAAATAAAAATAAACAACAACAAAAACAAGCTGGGCGTGGTGGTGCATGCCTTTAACCCCAGCACTCTGGAGGCAGAGGCAGGCAGATATCTGAGAGTTTAAGGCCAGCCGGGTCTATATAGTGAGTTCCAGGATAGCTGGGGCTACAGGGAGACTCCGTCTCACAAAAAAAAAAAAAAAAAAAAAAAAAAAAAAAAAAAAAAAGCTATAATATCATCATCCTAAAACTTTATATTCAAGTATCTCTTATTATTTAAAAAATGTTAATAATTTTGACTTCTACAATCCAACTAGAATTTATGTATCATATATAGTTGTTTTTTCTCTTAAGTTTTTATTGATTTAAGAAAAAAACATTCAGACTAGTTATCCTGACAAATTTTCCACTTTCTCTATTTGTCTAATTGGTGTCTTATATCTAATTACAGGTTAAACATTTTTGCAAAAAAGTTTAGATGATGTTGTTACCTTTTCATTGTGTAATTTCAGGAAACCGTAGGGTCAGCTGTCTCACTATTTGTAAACCTACTGATTTGAGTTAAGGCGCTGATCATCACATCTCTCCACTGAGTTACACTTGTCTGTGTGTGAGTAGTAAGTAATCTGTGGGTGACATTTTGAAGTTATTGGTGTAATTGCCAGCAATCTTTTGTCTAATGTTTTAAGATTTATTGAAGATCCTTTCACAAATCCATCTCACTGGGGGTGAGAAAGGAGGGTTTTATATTTTTTTGTTTCCACCTGAATTATTTGACATTCTTATGTGGAGATGGAGTCTTTTCCTACTTGCTTTCACTTACTTTTCTCCCCTGTATCTTTTCTCCCCAAATCACAATAGACATAAGAGGAAAAATTATCCATGAATTTAACCCTACTTTTATGTGTGTCTGATATTGTTTTCGTAGATTAATTACTGATTTTATATTTTAGGACATGGTGTTCACCTTATACTGGTTTATGAATGCTTACTAAAATGAAGAACACCACAGACCTCAAAGCTATCTTGAGAAAAGAATGCCACAGTTATTCAGTAGAACACCTGTTCTCAATTATCCTTCCTGCTAAGGCACCAGCAATACATTTTGGTATAAGATGAATTTAAACTCCTGCTGTGGCATTACCATGGCAACGTTACAGTTGATACATGAATCAAACAGCTGACTCTTAATTAAGTTTTTAAGTAGGGGCCTGTTCCCCCAGATGTCTCCTGGAACTGTGTCCTAGAACTGTCTTTGGAACTCTATTGCTGAAACTGTGCAGTGGAACTGTCTTAAGTCAAGTCTCATCCATAATTGTTATTCAAAACCATTTTTCCAGGTTCAGTTGGGCAAGCACATGCTTGAATCCACCCATATCTTATCAGACAATCTTGTCCCTTCATCCCTAGTTCTAGAATGTCTTGTACACACAATGTCATGCATCCTTTCTCAATCTTCATGTTTTCAGTGAAGGTGGGTGAGCTGTCTTTCAGTGTTTTGACTAGCTGATTCTTAAGCACACCCACATTAATTCATTGTGTTTTTGGGTGGAGTATTAAATTGAGGTTCCCAGGAAACAAGGTGCCCAGGTCAAAAGAACACATGGTTCATTAAAAGCCACTAGTCCAGGGTATGTCTATTTTTATAAAAGTCATCCCTGCCCCGTCCTTAATATGTTCCTTATACATATATTTTGTTTTGTTTTGTTTTATGTGTATGAATGTATTATCTTCATGTATATAAGCACAGCCATGTCATACCATGCCTGAGAGGAAAGAAGAGGGTGTTGGATCCCTGGAACTAGAGTTATGGACAGTTGTTAGTCACCATGTGGGTGCTGGGAATCAAACGTGGGTCCTCTGCAAGAACAGCCAGTGCTCTCAACCACTGAGCCATCTCTCCAGTCCAATATCTGTTTCTGTAAACACACCTGCAGAACAAATTTCTCCTCAGTGACTTTGGGATGCATAAGCATCTGTGCTGGTAGTCATGTAAGCTGTAATTTGAATCTACCAGTGTGGTAGCAGTTAAGACATGATATGTGGAGATGTATAAAAACTGACTGGGGAATTCTGTAACTCGAGGCCCAAAACTTCAGAGTGTTAGCTCCTGTGGGTCCACTAGTGTAAATAAAGTCAGTTTTCTGGCTCTCTGAGTAATGTTTGGTCTCTGACTGCCCGGTTTCCATAACAATATGGACTGCTTATGTGTGTGTGTGTGATGTGTGCGCACGTTGTGTGTGTACGTATGTGGGGGATGTCAGAGATCAGCCTCAGGTGGTGTTTCTCAGGAGTCATCCATCTTGTTTTTTTCTTCAAAAAGTTTAGGTCTTAGTGTGTGTACATGGGCATGTGACTAATGTATGATGTGTGTGTGTGTTTGTGTGTGTTTGTGTGTGTATGAGTGTGTATGTGTGTGAATGAGTGTGTATGTGTGCCACGGCACTTGTGTGGAGTTTGGTCAGCATTCATATAGAAGTCAGTCAGCTCTCTCCTTCCACTGTGGGTTCTGGGGATCAAACTCAGGTCCTCAGCCAAGCCATCTTGCTGGCCCCACCTCGTTTACTAAGACAGTGTTTCTCACTGAGACCTGGAGCTTGCTGATTTAGACTATGCTGGCAGGCCAGTAATCCCTAGGAAGCCACTTATCTCTACCCCCACAGGACAGGGAGAAGATAAATGAAAATATTCTATATTAAATCATAGTCAATGATTTTTTTGGTGGAATGCTTGTTTAACCAACTGATTTTAGTTTAAGTCAAATATAGTCTGTACAAATAAAAGAAAACTTACAAGCCACTATCAAAACAGTAAAAAAAAAAAAAAAAAAAAAAAAACCTCTAGGGGCTGGAGAGATGGCTCAGCAGTTAAGAAAACTAATGGTTGTTCTTGCAGAAAACCCGGCAGTTCAAATCCCAGCACCCACATGGCAGGTAACAACTGTCCGTAACTCCAGTCCCAGGGGATCTGACAGCCTCTTCTGATCTCCGTGAGCATTGCTTGACATGGATGCACTTACCTACAATAAGCATTGCATGACATGGATGCACTTACCTACATGGATGCAGGCAATACATGAATATGCATAAAATAAAAATAATAAAATATTTTTTAAAAAGTATGTCTCCAATCAATCTTTTGTGCATTTAGTTTAGGAAGATCTCATTTTCCTTCTCCCCTAGCAACAAATCAAATCGGCACTGACCTGAATAAAGCAGTGATTGATCTCTGCTGTTTTGGGACTGAGTGGCAAACGTGATCTTGGGTCCTTTGTAATTTGACATTAAGTCGGTTTGCCATCAACTTTCTCTTCTGGTGCAGAAAGAATTGCATTTCAGTTTATTCCTGCAACATCATAGGATCTAATCAAATCTAATCATGAAATATTCACCTTACTAGGCACTGAGGAGGCATATTTATGGTCGATTTCCTCTTCACTTCTACATGGCACCACCGTCCTTGACTGGCCTTACAAATTAGGAAACACATCTTTCCAGAGTATATTGGCAGTCATGTATCTATTGCATTGTTTTGATGTCTAAACCATCTACTTTATTTAAAGCCAGATACAGTTTTTGGGTAAAAAGTGCACTAACACTACAGGATGTCAAAGGAACAAAATATCTCTGAGTTGGACAAAGATCTAAATTATTCAAGCTGCAGAAACCCAGATACCATGATATCCCTCACGTAATTGTTACTCAGTGGGGTGGCAAAAAGCCTTACCAACTGTGATTCCATTTCTTAACTACTTTTGGGCCCATGTCGTCCTTTGGTCTTCTGATGAATCCAAAGGATTAGCTCTCAGAATTGTGTTTTAAAATGAGTGATAGCAACAGGGATTTTATTAGTAATAATAAAATTAAACGGGGTCCTAGCATCTGACCTCAGATTTTCAAGCATTTGATTTCTGACCATCCCTGTTCCCAAAGAGACCTTCCATCTTCCAAAAGGTAGTGGCCCCACACAGGTTTGAAGTATATGGAGGTGGTTATGGGATGGATGTGCTACTTTCTCTAGAAGTTTCCTCAGTTCTCTAGCCTTTTTCCTTCTTTCTCCAGATAAACATTTTTTCTAATTTTGTCTTATTCAGCTTTCTCACTCATGGCTTAGCCCCGCCCACTCTAAGGCATGGACACGCCCCCTCCCACGCCCGCCTTCTAGAGAAGTCCTGCCCTCTCCTTCCTTCCCTGCCAATTAGACCCGGGCTTACCTTGTGCCCCGCCCCCGAGCTCCCTGGGGGCCAGTGAGTGACCAGTGTTCCGGGCACACGCTGGGTAGCGGAAGGATGGCGAGTGCGCCGGGCGGCTTTTCGGATGAGCAGTTCCAGGAGGCCTGCACCGAGCTCCGGCAGCCCGCACTGGCCGGGGCCGACTGGCAGCTGCTGGTGGAGGCCTCGGGCATCACCATCTACCGGCTGCTGGACCAGGTAGCTGCCGGCCACTGGCGGAGATCCGACCGAGCTCTGCTGGGCCGGCCTCCCCGCGGGGCAGCTGCTCTGCGGACCCTGCGGGGCTGGTCTCCGGCACAGCGGGGAGAAGCCCGGGAGCTCTGGGCGGAGCCTCTGGGTGTCTTTGCCCCAGCAGAGCGTTGGGCGATTATAGTTCAGTCCCTGATTAGGCTATATTGAGGAATCTGCAGATCATTTTATTTCATGTTTTACTCTGTAGCAGTCTGGGAACAGGCAGGAGATTGCATTGAATGACCCGTGGATGGAAAAGGGTGCTGTGCTCAAGGCACTTTCTCTCCCAGCAGGTCTGGACTTTTACTAGGAGTGGGTAGGAAGGGCTGTGGAATTAAGTCGAATCTTCCCTGGATCTGGAAATCTGTCTATCATCTACCTACCTATCATCTTTCATTGTAATGAGATTATGATGAGTCCTTGGTGCCAACCTAGCATTTCTTATAATATGGAGCCGGTGTGGTGGTGCCTTGCCCATGGCATTACGGAGTGTATAGTAATGTGTGGTCATAAGTTGGGAACATGTGGTTATCTGCACAGAGCATAGCCTTTCACAGGAGAAGGGCATCTGGACGCAAACAGCTGATAGACAATTGGAGATGAGTCTTTGGGGGTTCAGGCTGGGGACAGACCAAGTGGAAAAGAAGTTTGTTAGATGTAAATTACAGAGTTAAAGCATAGGTGAACTGATCTCTAAGCCCATGCCCATGCCTTCAGGGAACAAGGTTCCCTTCTTTCTGCTGGTGGTATGTGGGGGTGGAGAGAGGACATGTCCTGGAGCAAGTAGAAGAGACAGGAATTCAAGGACTAGATGTTCAGCATTGTCAGGTGGGGGTTGTGGTAATCTCCGGGCTTTTTTTAGTGACTTCTTTTGGCCTTCTCTTTAAGTTGCACTTAGTAACTTGATTGTGAAGCTTCAGGCAGAGCGTGCAGCCAAAAGTGTAGGAGGAATGGAGTTGGTTATTAGGCAATTCTCAGCATCTTACATGGAAGTCTTTGGAAACCAAGTTGCCATCCAGGTGGGAGGGGTTGCACTGGCGTCCTGTCATTAATGGCTTGTTATCAGTTGCTTTGTGAGACAGGAGCTGTGTGGCATACAGGATAAAAGTCATCTGGGGGTAGCATAAGGAAACCAGAATTCCATGACACATGAATATTACAGTGAAAGAGCCCTCACACCTGGTGCAGCTTGGGAATTCAAAGGTAGACGAAAGAAAATGGACAGGGGAAGTAGGTCTACAGGGGCCCAGGAACATTCATGGCAGAGGTAGCTGGGGTTGGATGGTTCACAATCTAGTGATGCTTAAATATGGGGTTGCTGTCTAAAACAATAGCATTTTAATGTACATTAATTATTTTTAAAATTTAAGAGGAAAAAACCAAACACTGGCCATAGATAGTTTGCTCATCTGTTGAACTAGAAAGGAAACACTACCCTCCCTTCTCATATATGTGGTTTGCATGGAAGTTCAAGCAATATTTCTCCAGGCGGGGTGGGGGGGGGAGGGCTCTTTGAGAACTGTTACAACAATTCTACAGTTGACGAAGCAACCATCTACCCTGAAGAATTATCCAGCCCCAAATTACAATCAGTATTCCTAAGGCTTATAAATAAATACAGAATAAAGAAATTTCCTGACTACAAACATGTTTGAAGATAGTTTTTGATAATCTCTCTCCATTTACTAGAACAGTAGACTATGCAAATTTGAGCACACAAATTACTAGCAGAAACCCCTTTATAATCCAGAATAAAGCAGATGTTGGAAGTGGGTGAGCTGTCACATGTACTTTTGGTATATGAAGCTGCTGTATTTGGGGAAGCATCACTGACCTGCCTTTCAATATGAAATTCTGCTGTAGGTCCTTGCCATCTTAGGGGCAGTAATCTACTGAGGGTAATTATCAGCCTGGTAATGACTTGTTTATCTCCTCACTTAAGTGGACATAAGGAACTTGTAGCTGTCGTTTGTTTCATATTTTCAGTAATTGTGCACAAATGCATCCATCCGCACATGCTTCCTACTGCATTTGTGTCTGGCTAAGGTTGACGGTTATTCTTCCAGCAAACTTGGAATGCCTGCTGTGTAGCAGGACCAATGGATGAACAAGAAATGCACTGTAGGATAGGTAAAATCAACATCTTAGTGAAACTCCAGCAACATCCTTTGTGAAAATAGACATGTTTTCTCCCTGATGGGTGCATCTCCACCACCACCAAGTCAAGGCCCTTGCCAGGTTTGTAACTGGCATCAGGTCCATTTCTCTCCTTTGCCTTTGACCCACTGTGTTCTCAGCACTTCTCACCCTGTATTACAGCATCTTCTTAACTGGTTTCTTGTCTTTCCACATCTTTGTTCTCCTGTATCCTGTGTACTAAGCACCTGAAAGAAAGGCTGTCATCTTATCTCTACCCTCTCAGTGGCACCATTAGTTGCAGAATTACTAACAGTCATTCTACTAGCTAACACTGACTGTATGTTTTCTTATAATCCGGACACTAAATGCTTTGTAGCTATTGACTTACACAATTCTTACATCACCCCTAGGATAAGGCACTATGATTATCACCTTTTTACTTATGTAGAAATGAATGCCTGGGGAGACCAACTGGGATTAGAACTCAGCTGTCTGGTCCCAGACTTTGTGCCTTAAACGTTCTGCCTCTCGGAAACAGAAGGCACTGCTGCCTGATGTGGATGCTGAGATCCCAGCTCACCTTTCCAGCCTCTTCTCCACATTCTCATTGACTTGCCCATGAGAAAGCCAGGAAAATGAGTATCTGTAACAAAAATCAAAGTCTGTCATGAGACTAGTTCTCCCTGATGTTTGGGTCAGTGGCCCACTGGGTGTAAGTGTGATCCTCTGATAGGTTCTCTGGGAGGGAACATGGGAAGTCTTTCCTAGTGATCTATAGTCACGTCTTACAGCAGCTTTGGAGCACATTACCATGGCAAGAGCTAAAAGCATGACTATAGACTGATACTGACACACACAGTGGTTACAGCCTTGAATTAGAAAGATGTGAGTCTGAAAGGATCTGACTGAGCTAGGTGAGGAGCGAACCATCTTTTCTTGGAAATGGCTCTTTCCTGTATTGCTGTTACTAAAATTCCTTGGGTGGGTGAATGTAAAAGAGGTCCTCCTCCCAAGTTCCAATGATAAACCAAGGTAGGATTCCACCAAAGAACGCTCTGGGAAACCAGAGAGTTTATTGAGCTTACTTACAGAGTAGTAAGAGGTTACTTATAGGAGTGTGGGTGCTCCCCCATAAGGCCACTGCACCAGAAAGTCTTCAACCTGGCATTCCCCATAGCTGCCTAAATAGAACTCAGCCCTCTTGGTCTTCCCCAGCCTGTCTACTCTAGCCCTTCCCCCAGGCCACTTGCAATTAGGACCAAAGTGCCTACCTTGGGTTGGGAGGTATGGCTGGACACTCAGGTGAGGGTCCCATGTCTCTCCCTGTCCCTTCTACTCAGGGGTATCTTTGGCAGGTGAGCATAGCTGAGCTCAGGAAGATGGCGTCTCTCTGACCTCTCAAAGTGCTCTAGGTCCCACAGAACTGGGGAACTTCATTGATCCAGACTGTACAGGGAGTAAGTATAGCCTTAGGAGGGAAGCACAGATGATCTCACCTGACAGCAGTCTACTGCAGACCAGCCACTTTCTCTAACATTCCCCAGTGTGAGATCTAATCTAGCTTGTACCACCTGCTTCTTTTACTTCAACATGATAGACCTAATCTGCCAATCTCCCCTCTCACCTCCCCTTGCACCTTCTGGCTCTTTGTCTGATGAATAGACAATTCCTGAATTCAAGACACTTGTGCTATAGCTTACTAGCAAGCAAAGCTAGCCTGGCTTCAAGCTGGGCACGTGTGAAGGCTTCATTCTCTTCCTGCAGGAGACAGAGATCATCTCTGTCTTCTCTTCCACCTCCTCTAAACATGCAATCGCAGAGCTAGGTAACAGCCACACTTTTCTCCTGCTTTTCTTCTGTCTTAGGGTGCGCTTGTAGGTGTGAATGACGTGAGAAGGGCTATACCGAGGTTTGGATTCCTGGGGGCCTAGGCTGCTTAGGATGCCCCACTTCTGTCTCCAGGTGTAAATCAAGCTTTGTGCTCTGCCTTACCAGATCCCTTTTGGGGCCTCACAGAATGTGGCTGTTAATGCAGTGATAACTTTGAGTCTTCATTTGGCTGTGGGGCCCTTGAGAAGAGAGTTGATGAATGTAGGGAAAGATTTGGACATATTTGACCCTTGGTCATAATACTAAAACCTGGGTGAACCAGGGCGTGATTTTTGTAATGCTAAACACAAGTTTTTGTCACTATAAATTTGCTTTTCCTGGCTATTTCTTAGAACACCTTTAAGCCTCAGTTTCCGTCTGAAAAATGGCTAATAAATGCTTCATATTTCATATTATCATTATGTGAGTTAAATGGGATAAGCCATGTAAAGCCATCAGTTCAATGTTTGGTATTCACTAAGCACTAGCTCCTGTTATTATTTTACCTAACCACCTGCAACCCTTAAGGGTTAAACCTATCATATTTTCTTAGAGAGATCCCCAATATTAAGTAGACTCAACCAACTGGCTTCTTCATTTCTACACACTTCTTGATACATACACACCAGTAGCAGCTTTACCTTTGACTCCTGCCACTAAAAGTACTTTATTTTGCTAAAGACTCCACATTTTTATACCATCTGATTCCTTTGAGTTCCACAGAATTGCTGGGGTTGGTCAGCCAACAGCCCTACATGGTCCTTTGTTTCCTCTCGCCCTCCCTAATGGAAATGAGGACTCATGTTAGAGGCAAAGTCAACTATGAGCTCAAAGAGCATCACATGGCTAGAGAGATGTGGCCATTAAGGCTGCCTTGTAGTTAGTGATGCAAATTCACTCTACAAACTGAGCTATACGAACTGAGGGTCACAGGTGTGTGGAGCTTCTCTCTAGGCCCG